CTTCTCCAAGATTAAGGGGAAGGACAATTCTCTCCCATTTCTCCACGCAAATACGATGAACTCTGTTCTCAACCGGCTCTGGAACACCTCCGGCTTTGCCCTGTCCATCTCTCTCCTGGCCACATTCAATTCCATGAGTGCTCTGGACACTTACACCTCTTAACTACCAGCCAGGCCACTCTGCAACCCAGACTCACGCCCGCCATCTGCTATCCTTGTTCTGCTGCTAGGATGCAGTGTTGTTGGGAAAAACGTACACACATGCATATACACATGTGCACACACAAATACACACACATCACAGACTAACACTTTCTGACCAGATCCACTATTAATTCATCCACAGTGGATATTCCAAACACTTTCCTTACAATACTCTTTTTTCACTTAAAATTAAGTCTTTCCAGTATATGAGCTTGTTTCAACAAATCTTTATTGATCGTCTAATGTGTGTTGGATACGAAGGATTGGGCCAGCTACGAATATCACATGAGCTCTGCTCTCAAGGAATTAACAATTTTGAGAAGGAGAAATGGGTGGAGTAGTAGACATGCATGAAATAACCCTAAACCACAGTGAGATCGCTGCAGGTTGTATGAATCATCTTGAACAGGGCCACAGAGAACTGAGGGAGAGGTAAGAAAGTAACTGGATAGAGAGAGCAGGGAAAAAGGAGAATCAGGGTGACCCTGGGTCCTGGCTTGGTGGCCACATTCACAAGGCTGCCAGTGACTGAGTTAAGAACACAAGGAGGTAGCAAGCTTACACTGAAAAGGTGGAAGAAGGAGAGACATCTTTTTTTGTCAGTATGCTGAATTTGATACTCCTACAAACTTTTAATGGAAGTTTAGGTTCTCATGAAATATCCAAATGGTGATGTATCATGTTTGAAGCTTAGGAGAGAAAGTTGAGACAGGTTTGCACAATGGGAGTGGCTACAGAATCATGCCTGTTACCAAGAAGAAAACAAGGAAAGGACAGAACTCAGAAGACATAAACCTTTCACAAGTAGGCAGAGGATGAGAAATGGATTAAGAACGGCCAAAGAAATGGGAACAAAATTAAGTTAACTGTTTCTACCTTTCAAATCTATCTGCAATTGTGTTCTGTTTCTTATTTCAAACTGCTCACTAGACTTCTCTAATTGGATATTGTTCTAATATTTCAAATTTAACATGTTTCACCAAAAGTTTTTACTTCTGATTTCCCTGTTTGTGCCAATGTGATGAAAAGAAGGCTTTCTTCACAGCTAGAGCTGAAGCCCCCTGACTCTCACCAACAATGTCTGCGCTTTGAGTCACTCTGCGCTGGCAGGTTCAAAGTCTCATTCACGACTGCTCAGGCTTTAAGAATCAGCTCACCACACCTTCCCATAGAATCCTTCTCTAATCCCATGATCCAAAGTGTGAGTTAGGGACCCTCTTCACTGTTCACATTATACACTGCACATAGTTCTACCACTGCAGTTATATTATTTTATGAGTAATTATAGTTACATTAGTTTATAACTATCTATTCTTAGTTCATTGGATGCAAGGACATTTATTTATATTTGCATCCCAAATAAAATTCAAATTAAAAATTTGTTGAAGAGGGACAAGCTAAACATTGAATAAACAAGTGGAATAAAACTAGAAAACAGATTCTTCCTTTTATTGCCCTTCTCAAGTTATCTGGAGACATTTCATATTTTGTCCTGTGTCCATGGATCCTTTACTAATCAATGTTTTATGAGTAAGCCTCCTGACCACAATAACTTTTTATTAACAGCCACACATCTCTATGATTTGCTTATAAGGCATTTTAATAGTGTAACCGATTCCATGAAAACCTATATGTTTTTTATAATCCTCTCCCTTAACTACTTGACCCTTTGAGTCATTTCTTGGAAATGATGGACTCCTGGCCTCAAGTGGTCCTCCTGCCTGGGGCTCCCAAAGTGTTGGGATTATAGGTGTGAGCCATGACACCTGGCTTGAAATGATGGATTTTCTACAAGACAAAGGAGTTGAGATTCTGAAGGCCCCAGCGCAGACTTCTGACTCCAAGATTCACCAACCCCCACAACCTGCCCCAATGCACATAGCCCCTTGTGAGATACACCAGACCGGCCTCAAAGCACGTGGTCCCTCCTTTAAAAGCCCACAATATCCCTTAGTCAAGAAGACTGATTTAAGGTAGTTTCTCCCATTCTCCTGACAAGACATCTGTCGTATTAAAAATTCCTTTCTTGCTTGGCAATCCTCATTATGTCAATAACTGGATCTTTGTGCAACAAGCAACCAGACCTAGACCAAAACCCCCTTGTGGTTTCAACAACAACACGGTAGCAGCCAGATTTAGCTCTCACCTCTCAAACACTAATTCTTATACATATATTCATTGGGATTTTCACTGGAATTAAGTGGCCAGCCATCTAGCAAACTTTTAGCCAAGAACTGTCAATTTATAAAGTAATCTTTAATGCTAAGACATGTTGGGAGTAAGGAGGCAGTGTTAGTAGAAAAAGCGATACATTAATTTTCATTGGTCTTTATGAAACCTGTTTTAGAAAATTTATTTTAGATAATATTAAAGAGGTGATTTTAATGAGCTAATCACTTGAAGATTATTCCCACCTGAGGTAAAATAGTCTGGACAATATTAACTCTAGTAGATATTCTGAATCTATCTAGATGTTAAAGACAATTATTTGCATGAAATATGTTTTGAACTAATGCATCCTAAGTGTCTAAAGTACCTTTACCATAATGTTCAACTAATTTTGGCAGAAAAAGGAAAAACCCTGTAAGTTAAATCTTTCACATCCTAGTAACACTTCAATTTATTTTAAAGCTATCTTTAGTGCTTTGTTGGTAATGATCACATTTGCTTTTGTGCACAGAGATTTATGAAATAGATTTACTCTTCTCCCAGCATAAAAAGTCAGGAAGCTAGGGAGGTAGCTGTGAATCATTTGATTCTCAACAAGTCCCTTCAGCTCATTAAGTCATTGTTTTAGAATTTTTAAAGTGGAACTAATTCAAGAATGACATAATATGGCATTAGGTGGTATACTGGCACCTTCTCTCAAAGTCTTGGGGTAAATATCTTATAGAAGGAATACCACCATGAAACTGACTTTATTAGGCAAAGACCAAATCTGCAGGTGGCAGATACAGGCCAGAAGGGCGGTTCCTACGGGCAGAGAATCAGGGGAAGGGACTGCAGGAAAATGCAGAACACCTGACAATCATGTATATCAATCATCCGGTAACATCCCACACCTCCTGTATGCCCTCTCCCAGACGAGGCCAATTAAAGGGAACCACCTGGGAGTTCTTAATGTCTTTCTCCACTCGTGGAGACTGACCCGTTCCTCTCCCTGGAACGTATTATCGCTTTGTATAGCCTCCTTCTTTTCTGCAATAAAAGCTGATTGTGTGGAATTGCTTCCTGTCTGCAATCACTCCCTCACACCAGCCTGCTTGTGATTCTTCCAAGCAAGGAGCCAAAGAACCAGGACAACAGTCCACCAAGAGGCCAGACCTGACAACCTTGATAGCCTTCAGTGGAGGTTGAATAACACAACAGAAATAAAATTTGCATTAGTTATTTCTCATTCGGGAAGCTATAACTATCTTTGTTACTAAACAGAAACCAAAGTCTTGATAATCACGCATAAATACTTATCTATGGGACTCAATTGCAAGAATAGTAATTTAAGGCAGGACTGATATGTAGTTTCCTGGGACCATTTATGCACGTTTTGGTAAAGCCTGCCTTATTTAATTAGGAGCTTTCCCAGCATGAGATTTAACACCAAGGAATGAGAATTATCACCAAGGTGTGCTACCATACACAGAATGAAAACTAAAACACATACTTTCCTCCAGATTCAACTACGAAACCAGTGTTTACTGGGAGTCTCCCACGGTACCGAGGACTGGAAGCGGAGTGGTGAGCTAAGTGGAAACTTCCTAGATGCTTAGTTGTCTACGAATTTAACTACAGCCACTTAAATGACTGAGAAGATTCACTCAGCAGTTAAGCCCTAAACAAACAGTAGAGAATGTATTTCTCTCAGCTCAAGGTGGGAGTGGTCCTTGGAGACTGGGGAGGAAGGTGACTAACCAGAAGATGGCAATTGTACTAGATCTTGAAAATTGACAAGATTGGAACTGGGGAGAGAAGAGTTGAAGGTATTGGGGGAGGAAGAGAGATGCACTTTGAACCACAGAAGGAACTCTGCTATTTTGGCCAAATTTAATGCAAAAGCTCTATTTCTACTCTCCAACGAACCCTTTTTACTTTATACAGGCTCTCCCACCACTTCAACCTACAGTTAACCTCTCTTAGAAGTTTCTTAATCTGGGGCTGATTTTAGTGTTTGGATGCCCATACACGGTTTCTGCTTTTCAAGAAGAGTTCAATTTAGCATTTTACCTTGCAATAATATCGTTATAATTTTAACAACTATCATTTATTGAACCCTTAAGTGCTGGACACTGCAGAACGCTTCACATAGATTTTCTGATTTAATTCTCACAACATCCCTATGCGTTGAGCGCTATTAACCCTGCTTGACAGATCTGGAAACTGAGGCACGGAGACGCTAGTCCAGGCCACGCAGCTACTTACTCCTAGAGCAGAACTTCTGTCGCCAGGAGTGCACTCTGTTAGAGAATTTGTAAGTCATGTGGAAGAGTATATATTTCCCCTTAACACCTTCGAGTTTTTTCCTAGCCGAAGTCTAACCATTAAGGGGTCAAACAACCGTCCGCTTCGCCCTCCAGTGATTGTTTCTCCCTGAGCCAGAGAAGCTGCAAACCTGTTGGAAGCAAAGGCCGTGGGGAAGAGGCGAGAAGCCTTTGCGGAGACAGCCACCTGAAATCCTGCTCCAAAATCTCCGCCCCCCTCGCGCTGAGGGGAGCCGTAGCCGCGGCGAGGACGCGGGTCCCCAGGTCACCAGTCTGTCTTCTCCGCGTCACCTGCTCTCCAGGCCTAAGGCACATTCACCAATGCCGGCCCTTTCGACAGCGGCAGGCGGCGGGGCCCGATCGCGGGACCCCAGCAGGTCTCCGCGGCACAGAGCAAGGTTTGCCCTTGGGCCGAGGCCCGCGGGGGCCATTCTACTGGAAGGAGGGAATCCGGTAGGAGAGAACGGCGGGGCGGGGCCTGCCACCCACAGTCCCCAACTCGGGGACGTCACCGTCCCAGGTGCGTGTGCGACGGGGGCTGCAGTCCGCCCCGCGCCTGCCTCCTCCGCGGCAGTCCGCACCTCCCCACGCGCAGCCCGGGCGGGCCCCGGGCTCCATTTTCTCGCAGTGGCCACACCTGGAACCGCGCCTCTGGGCAGGGCTGCGCGGGGAACTCGGCCCTGGGGCGGGGAGGGAGCGAGGGAGCGCGGGGCGGGCGGCCCGGAGCCCAGGAGGAGCCGGGTGCGCGCTCGCGGGGACGCGGGGCGGCGGCGGCGCGGAGCAGAGTGAGCGGCCGCGGGCGAGGGCGCGGCGGCGGCGAGGGCGCGATGGCGCGGAGCCCGGGACGGCTGTGCGCTTTGCTGCTTCTCCTGGTAAGTGCCGGGAGCCGAGACGCGGAGCCCAGCGCTGGGGAGGGCACTGGCGGGCGCCAGGCTCGCGCCACAACCTGCCCGCGCCCGCCAGCGAATTACCCGCCCGCCCGGCGCGCCCTCCTGGCGCCCCGAGGTGGGACACGCTGGGCAGGCTGCGGCGAGATCGGACCTGGGGCTTCGGAAAGTCGTCTTGGCTGGGAACGAGGAGGGTAGGCTGGAACCTGTCGAAGTTCTGTTTTTCTTCTCGGGACACCTAGGCCCTGGAGCCTTTCTCTGTGTTGTGTGGGCGTAGTGAGCCCTGGGGCGAGGAACGCCGTTCCCGGGGATCGGGGGCTTTGTTTGCAGCCTTCGCGGAAGGGAAACATGGAGGCAATAGGGAGCGACGTCTGTGTCTTCTCCAGTGTCCTTAAAGTTCTCGATTCCCCAGGTTCGCTCGCCATCGCCAATGCACGTCGGTGAGCTGGGGAAACCAGGAAAATACCTGAATTCCTAAGAGTGCAAAAAATGGGCTAAAAATAGTTTCTTTTTTTAAAAACAAGAAAAAATAGTATTTTACAAAGCTTAACTCTTTTTGTTAAAGCTACATTGGTGTTAAAATCAACCACATCATAGTTTTTAGCTTACAACAAAGTACACAAAGTTGGTGTTTTAAAACAAATTCCTAATAGTAAAGTTAATTAAACATATGTAATAGTTCGAAGACTTTTTCAGTTGAAAGGTTGTAGAAAACCAAAGTGTAGAGCCATCAAATGGGGTTTTCAGAGATTACCCTCTTAAAGAAAAGAGCTTCAACCACAGGGAGATGTTCGGTGCCTGGGTCTAGATTTCTTATGCTTGCTTTCTATGCTCAAATTGGATTTTAAACTGTTGGTTTTCTGTTTGTTAACGAGATCGAACATAATTAAGAAATGTATTTGGCTTATAGGGGTTTGCTAAATGGATTTTCATAAAGTGACAGTTACTCTGCTAATATTGGTGTGAGTTCACCTTCTGGAGACTTCACAAGTATATGCTCAGAGATATTTGACACAAAATTATACTCAGTTTTCTTATACAATGATTAAAATTAAAAATGCAGGTATATTCACTGTATAAAAAGCTCTGACTTCTGAAAGAAGCATGACTAAATCCAATCCAGAGATTTCAGTGAACCCTCATTTAGAACAGCATGATAATTAGGACCTCCAGACCTTTGGCACACAGTTCTTTTTCATGCTCTATTTATCATTTCATTTTACCGTGCAAATCCATTTTGTTAATAAAACCTTTTTTTGGGGGGGGGACAGTTTTGCTCTGTTGCTCTGGCTAGAGTGCGGTGGGGTCATCATAGCTCACTGCACCCTCAGACTTCTGGGCTCAAGCCATCGTCTTGCCTCAGAATCCCAAGTAGCTGGGACTACAGGTGTGTGCCACCACACCTTGCTAATTTTTTCTGTTTTTAGTAGAGATGGGGTCTCGCTCTTGCTAAGGCTGATCTCAAACTCCTGATCTCAAGCAATCCTCCCTCCTCGGCCTCCCAGAGTGCTAGGATTACAGATGTGAGCCACCACAACCAGCCTTTAATAAAACGTTCCTAAGACATGATTTGGGGCTTTGTTTTTGGCCTCCAGAAGAGCAGAGCAACTAATCCCTTCACCTTGATGCTTCCTGGTTAAGGAGAATTCCAAGCTGACATAACGCCTGGCTCACTGTGAGGGTTAAATATTAAATTCCTTCCATATAAGAAAAGAAATTACCTTCAATCTTCAAATGGTATAGCAATCAGGCCAATTTGTGTACTCACAGAGAAATAGGTTGACAATTTAGTAATACTTTTCACTTTAGCAATTGGATACTTTATTGGGCAGTAATAGACTGTTGCTTTAAATAGTGACTATTGCCATCTGAATAGGAGCAAAATTCTTGGATTATTCTATATATTTTCTGTTATACTTTTTGTAATATAAATTTGAGTGTGTTTGTTCTTCTCAAAGAACAGTGAACAGTTCAGCATTTCACTCCTAACGTGTTTGAAGATAGAAGTGTACTCTTTTGGTAAAAAATGGAAAGCAACTCATCTGACAGGAGTAGTTCCTGAGGAAACAAGTCCTTTATAGGAAGGAATATAAATTGTAGTCTGTTTGGTCGGAGGTCAGTTGCAGATAACAGAATTTACTGTAGCTAGTTAAAGCAAGAAGAGGTTTATTTCAAGTTGACTACATAAGTATAAGAAGGAATGAGAAAACAGACTGCAGTTCGAACTGTCAGTAACAGCTTCAAAACCACCCAGCAGAACCCAACCTATTAGGGAGCTGCTGCCTCTCCTGTGATCAGGAACCAGAAACTACACTGCTGCTCCCACAGTCTGGAAACTGCTGTCATCAGGATGTTACTTTCGTTTCACGGCCAGTTCCAAACACTTGTCACACCTGCTAGGATGCATAACAACATGGATGTCTATACCTTGCCTCTTGGTGCTCACGAATCTAGGATACTAGAGCCATAATAAGACTGCTGCAAAAAACCCTACTACATCCACAAGTGTACTTGCCAGCAAAAAAAGCAGCACAGAGCTTCTGCTTCACTTCCTTCTTTCAGATGTCACCGAAATACTGATCAAACCCAAACTACATTCAGAATTGAGCCTGCAAGGGAGTCTACGGTATATGATCTTTAGCTTTCCTCTGCAGTACAGGGAGGCACACGAGAAGGTAACTGGAGTATCACCGACATAGCTTTTACACATTTAGACCAAATGTATCAAAATGGAAAAAAGAGACAATTTTCCAAATTAAACCAGAGAATCTTTCCTCTTCAAGAGTTTTTTATCTGGGATCAATCAACTCTCAAATGGTCTGTAGATAGAATTCAGAGGGTACCTGGAGATGGCAGGGAATTAATTACACAGATTTTTTTCACTAACCTCTACCTGAAATTCAGTGTTTTTTTAAATTGAGTGTAGGAAAGACACTGCAATAGTGTAAGCACTACCTGTGAATTTGTCACAGTAGAATCCACAAATATTTTTAGCTCATAATACAGTGATCTCAATATACCATTTATTCTGAACATCACTAAATCACTAATAGATTTTCTACTAGATCTTTAATGTGTTAATAATGAAGTGCATGATATTGCTACATCACAAATTGGTATTTTTTCCGATTTTTTTATTTGTATACATTCATGGAGTATAAGTGCAATTTTGTTACATTGTTACATTATACATTATTGCACTGTGGTGAAGTCAGGGTCTTCAGTGCAACCATCACTGAAGCAACGCACATTATACCC